AACTTGGAAATTGTGCCCTCGTGTGAAAGAGAAGCATCGGCCTTCTGTGGATTCTTGTTAGGTTCTAAGTGGATGTGAAAAAACAGTGACAGAAAGCACAGCCCAAAATCCGTTTACTAATAAAGCGAGCCTTGCTACCAATGCCAATAGCATAGCAGCATCGACCGGTAATTAGCAACTATGATGTGAGCTTTAGTGAAATAAACCAATATAGCTACCAACCAAAAGAAAAAACAATTGATGGTATCGATAACTCACGTGGCATTACATCCCAAATACGCTTCAGAGCGTCATCTTTCGGCAAAAGCGCCGCATAAAACGGAATCAGGCTAAACACCTGCTTCTGGAGCAAAACGTCAATCATACGGCCGACAAGATTTTTGCCATGATTCTCCTGAATACCACTAGAAGCTCATGAACCAGAAGTGGTTAAGGACAGCAACTATGCTTTTCACTTAACAACTTACATCATGCTCGTTTTTCAAAATACGGCATACACTTGTGACAAGACCGAAAAAACGGTACAGCGACTGTACTTTTGCTCCCGGCTTCTTTTCAACGTCCAGACAATACGAATACATCCAATCGACCGCCTCTTCCCACGCACCTCTCATCATATAGCTCATGAGGATGTAATATGGAGAAGGCTCCGACTGAAATCATTAGGCACTATCAAAAAATAAGGGGCAAGAGTGACATAAAATAACTACATACCGTGGCTATGGCTTCAAATATTCCTTCAACTGTTGTAGGGGCAAAAATCGGATGTTCAATTCCAAGAGCAGTATTTAGCCTAACAAAATTTTAATCACTGTACGATAGAAATCCGAAGTTCGTTACCTAATTCAACATTACCTCGCCTGGACAGCAGCATTAGCATAGCACCAAAGTCGGTCATCCACAGTGACGGCTAAAGGGAGAAGAAATTGCCAATCTCCTGCAATAGCAGCAAACACCATTCGAATTCCCATCGAATATTTGGTCTGAAAACGTTTCTGATCCTTACAAGAAGAAATTTACTGAACTAAAAAGTGGTTCTTCAAATTATTAAATTCCGAAGAGGATGCAGTTGGTGCACGTCTAAGGAAGAACATAAATTAGTCAAAACGTAGTGAGCAAGTAAGCGGGTAAGAGAATTCATTCCTTGGTATGGATAAGGAAGGATGCAGGCTGGGCCAACGTAAGTGCGCTTCTAGAACCCGCGTAGACATGAGCTGTCCAACAATAGCCTT